CGTTCAAGACGCTAAAGATTTGCATGATGCAGTAAATTTGCGACTTGTACAACAAATTGTTAAAAACGAGATAAAAACTATATTTCAAATTACATCTTCTTTAAGATCAGCCATTGATGATTTGAATATTTTAATACAAGTTGTTGAAGATAGAGTTAACGAAAAACTAAAACGATTTGAATCCAAACAAAATATTATAATTAAGGAAACTACATTTACTCAAAATGATGATGAATGATAAAAAGTTAACAGTTGTAACTGAACTGCATAAACAAGCGAAAAGGAATTATCCTCGTCGTAAAATTCTAATGCGTGGTATAGATGAAACCTGGCAAGCAGATTTGGTAGAAATGATTCCTTACTCTTATTCCAATAAAGGATTCAAGTACATGCTAATAATTATAGACATATTTTCAAAATATGCCTGGGCTATGCCTGTTAAAAGTAAAAGTGGAAAAGATATTTCTTTAGCCATGAAATTAATTTTAAAAGGAGGACGTATTCCAAAAAATTTGCATACTGATAGAGGTAAAGAATTTTACAACTCTGAATTTCAGAGTTTAATGCAAGAATTCAATATTAATCTCTATTCAACTTATAGTAATTTGAAAGCATCTATTGTTGAAAGATTTAACCGCACTCTTAAGAATATGATGTGGCCTCAATTCAATTTGCAAGGTAATTATAAATGGATAAATATACTTCATTAATTTTTTTTTTTAAATATCAAATTTACAGGTGCGTGATAGGAACCCTTTCTGAGAGGAATCACGTCGCGGCCGGAAAGGTTTTAGCTCCAATTTTCATCCTAGAACAAAAAACAAATTTCATTCTATTTTTACATCTTAAAAGCTAGAGAAAGACGTAGGGGATTTTTTTTCAATTGATTTTTGCAAAAATGGCGAACATTTTAAGGAAAAACCGAGTTTTTTACTTAAAAAATTGACACTAAATTGTTTATAACGAAAAAAATATGCAACATAAAAAAAAATCCGTACGTCTTTCTCTAGATAATGTTATTGAGAAGCTACAGTTTAATTTTTAAGTAAATCGGTTGAGATTTGTAAAAGTCATGTTTCCGGCCAGCACAAAAAATGTAGTTTTGAGAAAAACGAGTTTAAAGTTTTACTTACGACTTTTTGGATATACCTTCAATCTGCAATGCCTGCGCCGTATAATTGACCTTCCAAATTAATATTATCTTGTTCTTCTTCTTTTCTAATGGATATTTTCAACCGAGAAACATTAAAATCGGTTAAAATTTGTTGGTTTTAACTGATTTTGAACAGAAAATTGCAGATTCAGACAACTAAGTGCCAACGCGCGCAGTACAGGACCACGATCGGGCCCAAGTTCAATCACTTAAAAAGTGTTTCGACTTATAATTGATATTGTTTCTTATTCTATACATCCTTAGGCACCTTTTAAAGCAAAAAATTTTTTTTTGATTTTTTGAAAATTCTAGAGTGGTTTAACCCCTTAAAGTACATAAAATTTCCTGTAAATAAAAAAAAACTCTTCTATCTATTACTGTTACAAAAATATGGTCATTTGAATTTTAAATTTAATGGATAAATAGTTAAAATTTAACATTAGGTCTAGATTATTTGGTAAAATTGTTTTCGCAGAACCTCATCTCAATTCCATAATATAATACGTATAAGAAGGTTTAATCTTGAACAGTTTCAAATTGAAAAAACTGATTTATCTCACTTACATCGAAAGTTACATTGGTTTAAAGAATGTCTATTTCTATAAGAGAGATTTGAGTAGTTTTTAAAAATCCGTTTATTTTGAAAAATGCAACATAATCATATTTAAAATATTTACTTTTTTAAAAAGTAAATGGTAAGGTACAAATATTTCAAAATAAACGGATTTTTAAAACCTACTCAAATCTCTCTTATAGAAATAGACATTCTTTAAACCAATGTAACTTTCGCTGTAAGTGAGATAAATCAGTTTTTTCAATTTGAAACTGTTCAAGATTAAACCTTCTTATACGTATTATATTATGGAATTGAGATGAGGTTCTGCGAAAACAATTTTACCAAATAATCTAGACCTAATGTTAAATTTTAACTATTTATCCATTAAATTTAAAATTCAAATGACCATATTTTTGTAACAGTAATAGATAGAAGAGTTTTTTTTTATTTACAGGAAATTTTATGTACTTTAATTCACTTCTACATGACTTTATTGAAATAACGTTAAATAAAGGAGTAAAGTTTAAAAAATTAGAAAAATTTCAGTTTTTTCGACTATTTTTAAACATTTTCTTAATTCTATGTATCAAAATGGTTTAATTATTATATATAATCTATTTTTATGTTAAATTGTAGCTTTTGAAGCAATAAGTATTTTACCAAACGGTATTTTAATGAAAATATCTTTAATAACCTAGAAAAAAAATTTAAAAATCAATATAATTTGAGTTTCCCTCCAACGATTATTTTAATTTTCGTCTTAAACTGATCGTGAGGCATCACCGAACTGATATAAAAAAAACCTGAGAAGGGTCATGCAGTTTAGGTTGAACCTAAACGAAGCTCACCGTGCATAAGGACTCAATGCAATTTTTGTTTGTTTTAATGTTTGAACATTGTGCAGTTTTGATCTAATAGAATACTGTATTCTAGATTGAATTTCAATATTTTGCAGGCAATATACATAGTCATCAAAAACAATATTTTTCTTAACAACTCCAGCTTTTACACCTTTGGCCTTTTTATGAAATCTTTCTCTTCAACCCGGACGCTGTACATATTGCTCCGCAAACCAACAAATTCAGTGACAATTTTGCCACAGCACTCATCTTTCATAAGTCCTAAAATTTGTTTGTTGGCTTGCGGAATACCGTAAACGTTATTATTCGGATAATCTAAAGTATCAAACATGTGAATATCTGCTTTCATATCTTCATAAATGTTAGAGCATTTAATTTCATAAATAAGGCTGTCGGTGTCGGTGTACAATAATTTCAATTTTTTTCCGTCTTACTTTTCTAACATATAATTATAATGAAAATCGTAGATTAATGTTTTGGAAACATCCAAGACTGCTAAGCCGACATAGAGAGGCTTGTTCATTAAAACCTCCATTTTTCTATGTTCTACAGCAACTAAATTATCATTAAAAATTGATCTGCTGTAAAAGTTAGGCTTTGCGATTAAAGCTTCAGCTCCATATCTACCCTCCCACTTTGTAACGAGTTTAATATCAACGTGTTTTCGCACGTTCTCCATTGTTTTACCGAATACTGCGTTGTTCATCAACTTAAATAAATTCTTTTCGACTTCATTGTTTACATTTGTCCTCTGCATGGTATCAAAATCAATATAACTTTTTAACCACATTGATTGTTTGAATTTTAAAACGCGATGAATTTTAACTATACCAGACCGCTGGCAATAGCTTGTTTTAAAGCACGGTAATGGAGAACGTGCTTTCGTTTAGGTAGGAGGGTAGTTAGAAGTTTTTGTTCTTTTGATCCTGGTGGCTTTGAGCGTTCAGGGCAAAACGGAAAATCACTATGTTTTTCATGAAGTTCATCGGGATAATCTAAGTCAACTTCCAAAATGTATCCAATTGGTGCATCATCAAGTACGTTAAAATCAAAATTATTATCGATATTTTCTACCCACTCGAAACCACCATATGGAAGTGACTGAATCATAGCCCAACCATACAAGTTATTTGCGTCAAAGTGTACGATATAAGATGTTTCCTCATTCTTATTGTAATGTTCCATGTAAGGATTATTCGCTTTAGCGTAACGATTACAACACTGACTCACCCCACCCCTTATTCCACGTTCAATGAACATCACCATATCAATGTCTGTGAGGAGTTCTAATTTTATATTCGTATACCTTAACATAGCATCCCATGTGAGTCCAGACGTTGTATAATAATGCGCTGGATCAAGACCGTATGCTAATAAACACTGATTTCGGAAATTTTCGAAAATATCCGAGAGTAACAATATATCAGTTTGCATGTATAAATAAACATAATCACCGAGATTTTTACAATTAAACTCACTCCACACTTTTTGCGCATGTACATAATCTTCATCGGAAATATTTGAATCGTTTAAAGTGCTATAAAAATTTTCTTTACGTGGTAATTGAGTCTCATCGAGTTTTTCCCTCGAGTCAATGTACTCGTAAGGAAAAACTCCTTTTCGCGTTAACAATTGAATTTTGTCGTCGCTGTAATTAGAAAAAACAGAATTAACAATTTTATATTCGTTGAGATAAGATGCTAATTTGTCCAATGATGATGCCATAAATTTAAATGAATCTATGAATTGAAACTTGACAAAACTATTTTAAATATTTTTAGTTAAGCTGATATACTTTTCTTTGTTTATTGGAAGTAAGTCAACTTTACCTTCAAACTCGGTAGCTATAGCTTTGATAATAAAATGCGCGTCGTAACCACTAAGGTTATGAAAAACAGAAGGTATGACCTGAGATTCATGATAATTAATGTTACAATCGCGATGAGCTGCTCCACGATACTTCCCTGTTAGATGACAATGGTCTCTTACTTTTACATCCCCATGCGCGATTTTCTTTTTACAAATATGACATGTTTTGTCATTTTTTAAATTTACCAACTGCTGTGCACTTAGTACTTCCATGGGCATTGGATTTTAAAACCGCGCATCAACATTGTCAGCCAAATCCTTTAATTCCTTTGAAAACCATTTAGCCGGATCATCTTTATCTTTTGGAGAAGCTTTGTATACAGAGAGTGAATCGTTAAAACCACATTTTATGTAATAGCCAATACTAAGTGTTTTGTGATTTTGAAAAACTTCAGTATTGCTTGCTTCTTGTGGTCTTTCTGCTGGAATCAAAAGGCTCTCACTATCTGCGTAAATAATAAATGGCACACGCTCCTTGTTTTGAAAGTTTTAAATTCAACAAAATTGTATATTCTATATTTCTATTCTATCTAAAATAAAATTGATTAATTTTTAATTCAAGTCATTTTTTGTCTGTTTAAGCTCCTATGAAAATTTTAAGAGCGTTAAAATTTTTTTCATAGCCATTCTAGATGTATTCTCGGTCGCTGATCAATGATTTGAAGTAAAAATTGTCAATTTGGCAGTTTAAATCTGACAAAATTGAAAAAACGGTAGAAATTGTCCCTTTTTATAAATTCATGTCGTTGAAGTATTGCCTCTTTATTTGTTGAGGACGCTGAGCAGAGCCGGATGGCACGTAAGAATTTAGTTTTGCTCTCTTCATCTTTTATATCTTCTTTAAAGCTTCCCATTCATTCTGAAATTCTTTAACTGAAATTCATATTGCAGTAATCAAAATTGGCTAATCAAGGAGGATGAGTTATTATTTACTTTGTTAAAATTTTTCTTTAATTCCAAAATTTTTTAATTATTTGTTAAGAATTACGGTGTATTTTTTATAATTGTTTAAATTGAGAGAATAACAATTTTTAATAATACTTTACGTACATTCAACCAATTTAGTCGAACTTTCTCTATATCAATAATCGATTCCTTAATTTCTTTTTCTGATAATTAAAAATTTTCATTTCATTAATCTGGTTTTATGATCTATTATATATTTTTTTATTTAAATAAATTTTTAATTGACACTGGTCAATTTTTAAGCAACGAGATACAAAGGAACATTAATATCCTCTATCCTTCTCTATCTTATTCCTTAAAAATATATTGTTTACTTTATACGTTTTGCACTTTCATTGTGTTTCGGCACAATACTAATCCTGCTGCTTCCAAAAATTTAGTAGGCGATGACAACTGCCCCGACAGGGGATATGTAGAATGATTCGCTTTCTGTTTATCGAAGTAACGAGGCCAGCGTAGGCGCGCTGCCCTGCAGGGGGACGGTAGGGTGTGAGAATGATGCCGTAGTGTGTCCGACGACGACTTGACTTTGTTCTCGTCAAAGTCGGAAAGCTCTCATACTTAGGCCTGGGGATGTATGAGGGTTATCACCCCTAGAACGGCGGACTCACCTGCGATTGGGCCAGGATTTCTAAAGTACAGGTTTTTACATAAATCATGACTTCTCAAAATCAAAACAATAATAATACTCCAAAGGCTTTAAAAGTTAATTTTGGAGTAATATCGTCGGAACACTTATGTGACAGCAATGCAGATGCATTTTGTTACATAGGTGGACAATTCTATGTCCCCAAACATCGTAAATCAATAAATAAAAATATCAAACAGATCTATAAAGATTATTTTTATCTTGAGATAGCCAATCAGGATAAAAATTCGGTTCCACACAAAATTTGCAGCTCCGATTACACCATGTTAACTCGTTGGAATCATACTAAAGAGGATAAACTAAAGTTTATAAAGCCAACTTTGTGGGAAAAATCATTAAATCAAAGAGATTGTTATTTTTGAAACACAAGTGTACAAGGATATAATAACAAAAATAAAAACAACATATTGTTTGCCAACGTCCCAACTGTAAAAAACTAGATTATTGCCTTCCGTATGATGAACAGGAGAAAAAGATTCCACACACGTTTAACCAAGAAGAACTTAGCAATCTCATTAGAGATTACAATTACCCAAGGATTGTGCAGAACACCTATAATCAGTGTTAAAGATGAAAAACTTGTTATCAAGAGGCACAATAACTAGCTTTTATCTAGACAGAGAAGAAGAATTCCGACAATATTTTACAAAAGACTAAAAGTCGTCGTTGGTATATTGTTTAGATGTTGTTGGACTCATGAATAAATTAAAATATAATACATACAAAGATGAAAATTGGATACTATTTATTGACTCTTTGAAAAGAAGTTTAAAAGTAGTACTACTACATAATACTAATATTTATGCTCCAATTCCAATAGCGTATTCAACGGAAATGAAACAAAACTATGAATATTTGAAACTAGTTATGGATAAAATTAGATACCGAGAACACAACTGGAAGATTTGTGGAGATTTCAAAATTTTAAGCATATTACTTGGACAACAATCCTGGAACAAAAGTTTCCAGAAACCTCTGATACGAAACTAAAAGAATGGGTTTTCGTTGGATCACATATTCGCAAATTGTTAAAAGATGAGCAATTTATCACCAAGATGAGTAGAAAGGAGAAAGCCGGATTGCTTAGTTTCAAATCAGTTGTCTAAAATTTTCTGGGTAATCACAAGTGTAAAAATTGGTAGTAAACAGTTAATGATATGATTAAAAACTTTGGTAAGTTAGGATGCTTAATAAGTATAAAGTTGCATTACTTAGACTCGTATCGGAATCACTTTCCTAAAATTTTGGGAGATTACAGTGAAGGGCAAGGAGAACGATTCCATCAAGATCTTAAAGAATTTAAGCGCCGTTATCAAGGAAGATGGGATGTAAATATGATAGCCGACTACTGTTGGATGCTGAAAAGTGATATTGTACCTGAAGGGACCAATTTGAAACGAAAACAATTACACAAATGCTTTGAGGACAAAAGAGTGCGCTACCATAAAAAGACGTGAATACCTTACTTAAGTAGAGTAGAACGCAGCAAGGCAGCCAAGACGGCACATTTTGTTCTGCGAGTGAACTACCATAAGCACTCTACAGTATCGACGGCGCGCGATTTAAAAAAGGGATGCAGAAATAAGAAGCAATTGGATGTCTGACCCCGTTCTACTCTATATGAGAATTTTCATTTTGAATTTTGAAAATCTAACTTCAGATTCGTAATCAGCGATTCAAAAAACCTCTAGATACCAAGATTCATTAATATCCATCAATTTTTAAAATTTCATCCGCCATTTTGGATCCGCTATTTTGAATTTTGAAAATCTAACTTTAAATTCGTAACCAACGACCCAAAAAACCCCTAGTTACGAAGTTTGAAGTAAATCCATCAATTTTTAAAAGAATAGCCTCCCTCTCAAAATCCGAAAGGTTTTTTAAGGTTAGAAAAAAATCCTGACGTGATGGATCGAAACGGACTTCTGATTCGTGTTCATTTACACATTTAAATGAACGTTAAAGTACAACTTGGCAACGGTTTTAAAACTTAATTTAATATCAATTAAGATTATAAATATAATGAGATGTTTTGAAATTTTTATATTAAGATTTAATATAAACCTAATTTGATACTTTGTTTGGATCAAATTCAACGAAAATTTTTTAATATGATGTTAATAAAATTTTGATTAATTTTAATACTTAATTTGACCTAAATAAGCATTTTTTTTAATTCGTTTCTTTATAAACTCCATATTAAAATTAAATTTAAACTTAACTTAGACCCTTACTTGTGTCAAATTAAAACAAATTAAATTATAGGTCTTAGTTTGGATTGTATTGTAAACGTAGTCAAAAAGTTCTGTATTGTATTTTCCTTATTCTCCTCCTGATAATTTTCAATATTTTTTCCTAAAATTCAACATTTCAAATATATACCTTACTCTCTTTTTGTTTGCGATTTATTATTTTCGTTCTTCATCTCTGATTATTATTCTCAGAGCCTACAATAGAAAACAAATGTTTGACATTTAGAATACAAGGTCTGATAAAAATTTTTAACAAGATACGAGATGAAATGAGACGATAATAATGACAAAAGCGATGTTTTGTAGGTCAAATGACAGTTTTGTTATTTGTCGTTTCTGTCAAAGTTCAGTTCTGTTACCTACATGTCATGTTCGTCAAATGACAGTTCTGTAATCTATCGTGAAAGTAAAAAGACAGTTCTGTTTGTTACATGTCATTTCGGTTAAATGACATTATGGTTACATGTCAATTGGATAATAATCATGTGCCCTCCTAATTTATAAAATTAGTGAAAATCTTATATCACTATCAAATATTAAGGGGGTAATCGCAGTTGTAACTTTTAAAAAATCAATTATTTTTTGCATTTTCTTAAAGTATATGTTTTTTAAAAATATGTCTACAAATTTTTATAATGATCCGGTGAAAATTGAATGAGATATACAGTTTTTATATCTTTATATTTGAATTGGGATTTTGGAAGCAGCTTCATCTGTGGAAGAATTATTATATGGTCCATGAATTGATGATTCTATCTGATTTCAAAAAAAATTCCATCTTTGTGAAAAAGTAAGTTAAAACCTTAAACACGTTTTTCTCAAAACTACATTTTTGAAGTCGGTTAACTGAACCAATTGTCATGAAATTTAATATGCTTTTTCAATACCTAATAAACTAGTCCTTGATTGAAGGATTAATTTTTTTATTCAAAACTTTTGTTTTTACAGCTGAAAGACGACCGATTTTTTTTTACGAAAATTGAAAGTTAAACTTTGACAGGTCGCCATTTTGTTAAAAATTTTTTTGTTAAAATCGCTTCGTCAAGGACTAGATAATCTTTCAATAAATATAAATCCGTTTAAATTTTTTATATCAGATGAGCCAGATTTCCATAGTCGTGGTCACCGCAAATCATGTTTTTTAAAAGGACATCACTTTGACAGGATATAACTTTAAAAATATTTAATATTTTCAACTTTGTTTTTAAATTCATGTTCAATATATGAACTTTTAAATAATAAATCGATATTTTAAAAAAATTTAATGGTGTACGAGAAAAAAATGCATAAAAAGGTCTATTTTTTGGCGCTACAACTGCGATTGCCCTCTTAAATAAATTACTTACATTTTATTTTAAAATTAGTATAATGTATTTGTTATACAATCTAGTTTGTTGACTTTAAATTCTACTGCCCACTTTTAGTAGAAGCTTATTTAAATGATGCTTCAGATATTTGCGTATAATTGAGAAACATTGTTTGATCATAGAAGATCATTCCTTTGACAAGTAAATTATGTGTCCCTGAAAAATATATATATTTCTTTACAGTTGTAATTTTTAAATCACCACATAAAAACATGCACACATACATTTCTGTTAGGAATTGTCATAGCATTAAAACAAAACTCATAAATACTTTCGTTTCAGCTTGAGATACAAGAATTTTCAAAAAGAAATTTTGGTAATTGTTTGGTAATATTGCCGAAAAATTTCATAAATAACGAAAAAATAGATGAATAATTTTGACATTTACTTTACTGTAACTTTTTTCTATATTGAAAATTCTTGAAAAAAAAATTTAATTACCTTGAATATAAGTCCAGAACGAAGTTAATCGGATGAAAATTTAATACGCTATTAATCCAGCACGGAAAAAAAGTACCACTATATCTAAGAATTTTTTGCCATAGTAGCTAAATATTTCGTCGCAACTGAACGAGTAATACTGGCATTATCGCTGTTTTGGCCAAAGTGAAAATCTTTGGTCAATATCTCTATGTTGGTGAAAGTGTACTGTTAATTTATACTTTATGTTACTTTATAATAAAGATTTTGAAATTCCTCGTTTACAGTATTCAAAATGTATAGGTAAAAACATAATTCTGGTGAATAGTTATAAAGATTAGACTGAAAGCAAACAAAAAATGCGTGCAGTTTTTAGAAAATGATGTAAAATACAGAAAATAATAATTAAATGATTATATAATAACAACATTCTAAATTTAAATATTGTTAAATCATATCTTGTGTTTACAAAATTATAATTAACGGATTTTGAAATTTGAGGTTATGTTTTCAGTGAAATATATTTTTTTTAATATAAATAAAAATTATTTGATACAACAAATTTAATTTAATAGTTCAAGTAAAGTAAATTATTTATTAATACAAATAATTTATTATTTATTGCTAATACATTATTTTATTAAAATTATTTCGATGAAATAAATAATTGATTTAAACGAAAAAAATCAAATTTTATTAAATAAAACAATGAATTATTTGAAAAAATTAGTAGGACCTATGAATATTCTTCACATTTAACTTATAAGAATTTCTGCGGCGTCAAATCTTAAATTATTGAATTTCTATTCAGCAAAGTTTTATAAAGTGGATTTCACATTAAAAAAAAATTTTATATCGATGAATTTTGATTGAATTGAAATTAGATTTAAAAGAATTTGTATCACTTGCGTCCATCTTAATTTTTTCGATGCACTCACACACTGTACTGTAGGGATTTTGACTATCGTCAAATTACTGATGTTCGCATAATGAAACCGACTACATGTCTGGCGCTGTTGGGTGTATATTTTGCTGCTTTATTTGAAAGACTTGTTTGTTTCTGTTATTTAAAAATAATAGATAATTTCTGAATAAAGGAAATTTGCCATTTCAGCGATAACATAAAAAGTGCCAATTCTTTTTAAAGAATTTACTGGCAATAGCTAAATAGATTCTAAAAATTAATTGTATGTATTTCTCTTTCAGCTTTATTTCCAATATCGCTCGTTCGCATCGCTAGATTTTTTTCCCGTGAGAAAATGCGAAAAACGCATTTAAAGTTTACAATTGTAGAAATCTAACTTTTTAAGATACTTACGGCTGTTTGGAGCTAATATGATATTCCTGGATCAAACAGTAGTCCTTTAGCAATGTTTTTAAGTTCGTCTGCATTATTTCTATGCCACACTATACATTGGTAGTGTAGTGTTGCGACAGTAGTTAAATTCCCGTTGAGATACTTTGCCTTACATACTTGGGTTCATCTTCAGTTCTAACATTCTAATTATAACTATAAAACACTTATCTGATAAGATATGCTGCGATATACCTAAAAATGAATGTCATTATGAAGCAAATAAAACTAATCTTGTAAAAATATTATGATTATTACCTTTATTCTTGCGAAAAAAATGGTTTTTTATGTTTCCATGTTTATATGATAAACACATTATTTTATTTTTGAATAAGCATACAAATTTTCGAGTTATGGAGTTACCAAATTTTGTTTTTGTAAAAATATACATATTTTTAATAACGTATAACTCTAAGATTATTAAAATTAGAAATTTTATTTATGAGATGAAAAGTTAGGTAACATTTTCTTCGATCTTTAAATAATTTTAACATTTAAATATGTTTGATTTTCAATATTAAAAATAAAAATAGTTTATAACAAAAATTTTGCATATATAAAACTGATTTAAAAAGAATTTTAAATATATACTTAAAAATAATTAATACACCCTAAAAAAAGTAATCTTGATTCTAGCGAATTCCTCTTAATTTGATGCATATTTTCCTCTTATATATTGTATCAAAAGTCTTCACTTGAGAGGATTTTCCTGTCGCATATAATAATTTGACAATTATGGTTATAAACTGATAAACAAAAGCTATTATCATGCACTAAATTAAATATCTTTAGTTAAGTATTAAATATAATTAATGATTTATAGTTAATTACTTACATTAATTAATAGATTTGTTTATTTATTTAACTTTAATTCAATGTTTTTGACATCAGAACCTCAAAAAAATTGTTTTGTTTTATTATTAGTCACCAAAGAATAAAAATATTCTACATTCAAGTGGAATACTTTTGTTTTAAGAGGAAAAATTGAGAGGATATTAGAAGAGGATTTTTCCTCTAAATATGAGATTACTTTTTTCAGGGTGTATAAATTAATCATACATTCTTTATTTTATTAGGGTATATGGTGCGTGATCAATTAATACTTGTAAATACGAAACTGTGTACATGATTAAAATCCCATGTACATTGTAAACTTATTACCTATATGAAACTGATCAATTATATGTCGTACAATCGTCTAAGTATGCACTGTAAATGTGTTGTAAGTTTTGTTGTAATTTATAATATCGTTCACGGTCTTTAAAATTTACTTAAAATATGTTTATTTTTCGAAATGGTGATTAGAAAATAATTATTTTTGGAATTTCTCCATATACGGGTAAATTTAAATAGAATGTAATCTGATTGTAAGTGTAAAGACCGTAGACCACATTTAAATTTTATATTTATTTGTTTAAAAGTACTTGTTATTTTTCTTATTTATGGTTAGGGGTTGTTTGTAAACAGTTGGTTTTAAATAAATAAAAGATTGAGTAACATCTGAGAATTATTTAATTCCATAATTAGAGAAATCTTAGAATTTAAAGGGACGACTATATAGCTCATTTGCTTTGAAATTACTTAACTTGATAATATAACCTCTAATTTGTATCTGATAAATTTAAAAAAAATTTAATTAAAAAGTAAAATACTTAAATTTTCCGCAATTAAATGTTTAAATCAGTACTATACTTTATCATTTCTTGTTAAATGTTGGATTCTATAAATGCTCCTTGAAATTCAAAGAGAGCCATAAATAATGATCTGCTAAGTAGATGTTTGTGCATAACACTCATCAGCGTCATGAAGTAGTTTTACGTTTTTGAAGTTCGTCACATTACTCTATTAACCTCATTGCAGTTTTGATGTTAATTAAATTCTAATGAAATACTTTAAAATCAATAAGAACTGATTTATATGTTTCTGTGTTTTGTTTATAAAATGAAACTAGAAAGAATTAATAATCGCGAAATGGAAATCTCCGTTGAAAAGGGTTCTCGATCATTACAATACGCCAGTTCTCTGAGTGGTAAGTGGTCTTTGTCCATAAAAAATCCGATTACAGGATTTTCAATCAAATTCATATTCTAGTGTGTAATAAAAAAATAATTTTTTTAAAGAAAAAGATTTACTTTTTTACTTTCTTTTGAATAACTATATGGGGTGAAATTCCTGTTGCATACTAAGTAAAAAAAGGTGGTCGGATCTGGCTGTAAGTTGGACATAGTTTATTCCTATAGGTGTGTACATTAATTACGATATATTCTTAGGTTTTTTCAAAAACTGTAGGAGAGGGAGGGGGTTGAATTTTTTTGAAAAATGTAAACAGTAAATTTTTGAAGAGTTATAGCTTTTAAACAGTAAGATGAAAAACATTTTGACCTTTATGTTTTCGAAAGGATTTTCTTGCTTTTTTGAATGGAGAAAAAAATTATTAAAAAAATTCAAAATTTGATCCTTGTTTTTGAAATCAAAATTTTTTTTAATTTTTTATGAGAACGGTCGTTTTCTTCAATTATTAATTTTTTTTGAAAGTTAACAATGTGTATTTTCACTAAAAAAAATATTGATATGTCCTTTATTGTTATTATCGAGAGATTAATTAACTAATTAATGTTAATAAAAAATGAAATATTTTATACATAAATAAAGTTATTGCAATTCTAAAGCTACCAATTGAAAGATGACGTAATTCTGTATCCAACGAGCCTATTTGTCCTCTATTTATTCTCTACTAGATCTCTATTGAGAGGTTTTTTAGAGACCTAATAGAGTATTAAAATTTCGACTCGGGTAATATGAACTATTTTCGATTACAAGGTTTTTTTATAAACAATTGCAATGTTAGCTAATTGTTTATTAATAATCTACTAATCCAAAATACTTCATTTAGGTTTCATTAAATGCGGAATTACGTCAACTTTTTATCCATAACGTCAGAGTTACGATAACATTATTTGTTTATAAAATTTATCATTTTTTATAAACATTATTTAAGGGGTAACATCCCCAAACACTTTCAAAAATCGAATTTTTCTTTTTTTGTTTAAATGGTCCCTTAGGGTGTTAAAAATAATATTTTATTATCATTATAATTTAATATTTTATTAGTTTTAAGTCGAAAAAAACATGGCACTATTATTAATAAATAATTTTCGGTGAATATTGGATGCGCCATTTTGAATTTTTAAAAACTGACATCGGAATCGTAATCAACGCCTCTAAAAACCCCCGAGTAGTAATTTTCGTGAGCGTAGCTCAACTTTTAAAGTGTTGACTGATGTTTTTATGAATGCAAAGTTTAAACTCGTTTTTCTCGAAACTAGATTTTTCAAAATGGGCGGAAGGATTATTTCCACAGTTTTTAACGGATTTACTTGTTTTGACTGCAGGTTCAGGTTGATGCGTTTCCTTTTTACAGATATTTTTGAGTGAATTCTCCTTGAATTATATTATTTTATATTATATAATAATTAATTAATTATATTATTTTTTTGTCATAAATGAAATTTCATTTTGATAAAAATCGATATTTTTCAAATATCCTACTTAGTTCTCTAGAAAATAACATCTTCTTTCATAATTCGTTTGGATTTTTTGTCTAAGTACTCATGGAAAGTAGACAACCTTCATCCCGATGAGGCTGTTTTAAAAGGGGATTATAATCGTATACGATGTTTTTTTTGAAAAACTCGAAATTATTTTTTTTTTCATTTTTGGTCAGTATGACTATTTAAGAACACGGAAAAAATAGTCTAAAGTATTTTCATGGTCTAGAACTGATATAAACTGAGTACCAACATGCAACAACTCACAGAGTGCGCGAACGCACGCGTTTATTCCGGTCGGGTAGCAGTAAGCGGCTCAGAGGCAATCACTGCTTCTTGACTGGCAATAGATTACTTGAAAATGATCTTTTAGAAGCCAAAGAAAGATCTATGTATGTAGCCGGTATCGCTTATTGAGTGAGAATCACCTTTTTGCTCAGTTTCTACTTAAAAAACTTTAAACTTTCTCAAAACTGCATATTTTCAACTTTGTCACACTCATTTTAAAACTATTCAACTAATCTAATCTAAAATAAGCTTATACCGAAGTCCCCTAATACGAGTGTCGGTACTTAAGTCGCAAGACCCATTGCACCTAACCCCGGTAAACTTGAACCTAGTCTCCCTCTTTAGAGTCCTGTCTTATTCCAAAAGTCTAATAACTCTTCTACCGAGAGATCGCGAATTCTATCTGGGTCTACAAAGGCATGGCCCCAGCATTGATGTCTCGCTGCAGCGTAAGCTGGACAGTGACATAAAATATGAGTAGAAGATTCCTCTTCCGCGTCACACGATCTGCATCTAGGTGAAACGTTTCTACCTATTTTGTGCTGATGGTAGTTCAGGAGGTCATGACCCATGAGCAGCAGCAGTTTTAGAAGGGACTCGGCAAAGCCCCTGTCAAACCTAGCTCGTCCAATACCTTCCGACATTCCCAAACTAGTTTTGACTCTATAGTCGGATTACTCAAGGCGTTTAAAGCCGCCTGACTATCGACACAGATATTAATTCTCTTGCCAGACTTTCCTTTTTCAAGGCAAATCATTGCGCAAGTCATTACAGCACGGACTTCTGCCTGCCAAACCGTGGTGTAATTACCTAAAGATAATGTCACTTTAGTTGCATTAGACTTACAGTATACACACAAACAAGTGCCTCTTTCCATCTTGGATCCATCCGTAAACCAAAGTTCACCTCCAAGTGGACAGCCCTTTTCCCAATCTTTTCTCAAAGGAATAATGTTCTTAAAGCGAGATTTGAATTTCTCTCTTTTGGCCATTCTATCCTGTCCCATACTGATTTCTGGGATCTTCAGTATAGACGCCGGGAATTTTATATGTTTTCCTCTAGCTCTCTATTTCCCTTATGCTTGAAGTCTGATCATTGTGAGAGCAGCCTTCATAACCGTTAAAATGTGTAGGGGTTCCTCCGCCAATAAGAAACCTAACGCAGAAGTTGGCGTGGTTCTGATAGCTCCAGTAACCCCTCTAAAAACCATTGCTTGCAGTTGTTCAAGTTTCAATTTCACCGTTTTCAACTGGCTTCTAATCCACCAAACAACTGATGCATGCAGAAACTTTGGCAACAAGACCATACGATAGAGCCACTGAACCATATCCGGTTTTAGACCCCAAGCTGATCCAATAGCCCTTCTGCAAACCCAAAATGTAGTGCAAAACCTACTATATTGATACTCTAAGTGCTTTCTCCAGATCAGCTTATTATCCAGAATCACTCCTAGATATTTAACCGAATCGGAAAAAGACACTTCTTTTCCATAAAATACAGGTTTTCTCACAATGGGAACCTTGTATTTTCCAGTAAAGATAACCATATCCGTCTTGTCTGGATTAACAGAGAGGCCAGTTCGTTCACACCATCTCTTGACGATGCCTAATGCCCTCTCTGTCAATTCCAAGAGTGTATCCAACGAAAAACCTCTTACAATTATCAGGAAGTCGTCCGCATAGCTTTGCGTATAAAATCCTTGGCCGTTGAGATCTACTAGTAACTCGTCTGCCACCAAACTCCACAATAGAGGAGATAAAACTCCGCCTTGTGGGCAACCGTAGGAAATAAGGCCATTTATTCTGGCCTCTCCATACTCTTCTTCCAGGGCTCTATTATGGAGCATACCTTTAATCCACCTAATCAGTGGATCTGGTATGCCACATCTTTTAGCCGCATTGCATATTGCTTGACTACAGGTCTTAGGGAAAGCACCCTCTATATCTAGAAATGTGCCCAACGCATAACGCCCTGAGTCTAACTCTTCCTCAATTCTGCTAATCGCTGAATGAAGGGCTGTTTCTACAGAACAGCCTGCTCTATACGCGTGCTGTCCCGGATGTAATGTTACTTCCATCAGATGCAAGTTTCCAGTGTTCTCGTCCAGGACGAGATTTACGTGGATTCCGATCCCCATTGCTCTGCTCTGATTCTCTGAAGTCTAGGAAATTAATTCCCACAACATGCTTCAGGCACTCAGCTCTGTCACGGGCGAATCGTCCGTTAGGTAGCTTAATTGAAGATAGCTTAGCTCTGGCATCTCTGGCTAAAATTTTATGAAGTCTAGATGCTTCTGGTATCTTCTCAATACCTTCGCAAAAGCTCCTCCAGCCGGATGCTCTAGCCTTGTCTATCCCTTTCTTATAGGAATTGCGAGCGTTATGGTACAAAGCCCGTGCCTGTTGATTCCTACTTTTCTTTGCTCTATGCAGCAACTTTCTCACCTTACCCCTAAGACTTTCCAACTCAGCATTCCACCAAGTAGTTTTCCTGCTACACTGAAAGAAATTCGGGTGAGCAGCAGTACCAGCAAGTACAGCTGCTCTATCAAATCGAAGAACGCTAATGACCCCTTTTCAATCGGCTAACATCCCGTTCCGGGAGCTCAGACTACCCGTAGCGGTAGAACTCCAGTTCCTTTATAGCCTTACCTTGTCAATAAGACATCTGCTCACCCGTACCGGTAGCGCACCGCTCTCCCAACGGAATCTCAGTCATACTTTGAGCGAAGAAAGGCAGCGCTTTCAACGCTTAGACGTCTGCCCACCCAAATTTTTGTTAGTGTAGTTTCAAGTCTTTTTGGGTTACAGTTTCTCTCAAAAGCGGAAACAATTGAATCCTGCAGAAAATTTGCTGCAAGTTCCAACTCTTTTTCTGTACCATAACTGGTAGGAAAGCATTCCATGGAGTCTCTAAGGTCTTTACAATATGAAGACCAATTGGTACTTCTAGGATTACGACCCCACCCAAATTCACGAGCAGCTGACTCTATTCTGAACGTTATAAGTCTGTGGTCTGAAAGTGAGTCTTCATCCGACACTTTCCAATCCTGCACTTCCTCCCACAAATAATTATTCAACTAATTAACTTCAAATTTAGACAGTTTGTCCCTTGCATGTGTAGTTTTCGTGTAAACTAGGATTTTTAAAATACATTAATATTTTTAAAAGTTATAAACCATTTAAGTTGCAAA